GTGGGTGGGTGAAGGAAGGATGGATAGATGCGTGGGTGGATACATTAATGAATGAAAGATGGATGTGTGGATGGAAGGAGGATGGATGGGTGGGTGGATAGATGACGATAGATGAGTTAGAGGATGGATGGGTGGGTGGGTAGATGGAGAGTGGATGAGTTGGAGGATGGGTGGGTAGATGGTGGATGGATGAATCACAGGATTAAGTGCATGGCTGGGTAGATGAAGGATGAATGGGTGCGCCTGTGGAGAGATGGGTGAATGGGGAGAGGCAGAAATGAACAGAGATGAGCAGAGGAGTGGAACAGAGAGGCGTGGACATGCGCAGCAATGCAGTGCTCACGGCTGGCCACCTGCAGGTGTGGGAGGCTCTGCTGACCCTGATCTTCTTTCCGGTGTGCGTGGTGTTCGCCTGGATGGCGGACAAGCGGCTCCTGTTCTACAAATACGTGTACAAGCGCTACCGCACCGACCCGCGCAGTGGCATCATCATCGGGGCAGAAGGCGACCCGCCCAAGAGCATCGAGCTGGATGGCACGTTTGTGGGCGCCGAGGCCCCGGGTGAGCTGGGCGCGCTGGGTCCGGGCCCTGCCGAGGCGCGCGAGCTGGATGCCAGCCGGCGCGAGGTCATCCAGATCCTCAAGGACCTGAAACAGAAGCACCCGGACAAAGACCTGGAGCAGCTGGTGGGCATCGCCAACTACTACGCGCTGCTGCACCAGCAGAAGAGCCGCGCGTTCTACCGCATCCAGGCCACGCGCCTGATGACCGGCGCCGGCAACGTGCTGCGTAGACACGCGGCAGATGCGGCCCGCCGGCCTGGCCCCGCTGATGGCGCTCCCGACGATGAGGATGATGGCGCCAGCCACATCTTCTTCGAGCCCAGCCTGTACCACTGCCTGGAGAACTGCGGCTCGGTGCTGCTGTCGGTGGCCTGCCAGGGTGGCGAGGGCAACAGTACCTTCTATGTGGACTACCGCACCGAGGACGGCTCGGCCAAGGCGGGCTCCGACTACGAGTACAGGTAGGTCCTGGTCCAGGTGGGTCCCCAGTCCAGGTGAGCCGTCCAGGTTGGTCCCTGTCCAGGTGGGTCCCCAGTCCAGGTGGGTCCTCAGTCCAGGTGGGCAGTCTAGGTGGGTGCCTAGTCCAGGTGGATCCTCAGTACAGGTATCCAGTCCAGGTCCGTACTGAGGTGAGTCTCAGGAGGTAAAGCATAGTGTTGTGGCCTGGGGTGGGGCCTCAGGGATGCCTGTAATGTGGGACCCCACCCTGCTATTGGGGGACCTGCTGTGTGCATGCAGAATGTGTTCATTCACTCATCAGGATGCAGTCATCACTCATTCATCCACTATTCATTCACTCACTCATTTCATAACTCATTCATCATTCATTCACTCATTCATCCTCATACCTTCTTCATCATGAATCAATCCTTCATCAACCATTCATCATTTTTCAATAACAAATTCACTGCTCAGCACTCATTCATTCATCACATACATCATTCATTCACAAGCACCTACCACCACACACTTTTGTAGGCACTTGGCACACACGTCTGAGCACATGGCTGTGTGCAGGCTTCACCACCCCTCTCCACTACCAACCCGGGGGACCTGAGAGAGAACGCCACAGGTTGTTCATGAACACATTTCTAGTCAATGAGGCTTGGCTTGTTTTCATTCCTAGAGATGGAGCCCAGGACCTCCTGCATACTGGCAAGCACTTTACCACTGAACCCCACCCCCAGGCCCTCACTGGGGGGGATTCTAGGCAGGGACACTACCACTGGGCCACACCCCAGCCCCTCAATGGGGAATTCTAGGCAGGGACACTACCACTGGGCCACACCCCAGCCCCTAGCTGGGGGATTCTAGGCAGATGCTCTACCACTGAGCCATTACCCCCAGCCCCCCACTGGGGGATTCTAGGCAGGTGCTCTACCACTGAGCCACATCACAGTCCCTCACTGGGGGATTCTAGGCAGGTGCTCTACCACTGAGCCACATCACAGTCCCTCACTGGGGGATTCTAGGCAGGGACACTACCACTGAGCCACACCTCAGCCCCTCACTGGGGGATTCTAGGCAGGGGCTCTACCATTGAGCTAAATCCCCAACTCCACTATCAAATGTTTTATTACCTGGAAGAAATAACCCTACCTCCTGCTTCAACACATTTACAGTGTGCTAACTGAGTGCCAGCCACTGTTGTAGGTGACATGTTGATGGGCCCCATGATCACAAGTTATCTGCGCCTCTTATTTCAGGACCATGATGCCCTGCTGTTTTGTGTCAATTCATTCATTTGTTCTGTTTGTACATATAGGGTCTCATGTAGCCCAGGTTGGCTTTCTCTATTTGGCTGAGGATGACCCTGACCCTGAACTCCTCTTCCACCCCTGGAGGGATTGACTTTCCAGACATTTTAATCATTATAATTTAATTGTATCTCTTGTTACCTGGAAAGATAATTGCTCCCCACCACATATCCATAGTAAATACATTTATTGAACACTAACTTTGTACCTAATTTATTCTCCAGTATTATCCACTGCTTCATGTGTCAAAGCCACACAGTTTTAGCTATTGTAGCTTTGATGCATGCTTTATTACCTGGTTGATCAAGTCTGCCCCCTACCATTATGAAGAATGAAAAAGACTCACTGAACATCTAGAGTCCATTCCAAAGAGAGTTTTAAGTGTTTCTGTAATAGTGAATGGAAGTCCCAGATAAAATCAATTCCCTCAAATTTTCTCTCCAGGAGTCACAACTTATCCACATCTCTGGTTTCAAACCAGGCCATTTTAGTGGGATGAAGTGGCACAGGACTGTCATTTAGAAGGCTGAGAGAGAAGGATTTGGAGTTAAAGGGAAAGCATGGTAGAGGCAGATAGCTCAGTCATTAAACCACTGGCCTTGCAAATATGAGGATCCAAGTTAGATCCATGGCACTCAGGAGGCTGAAGCAGGAGGATAGCATGTCTATTATTTGGTTTGTTTTTGAACTTCTGCTTGTTGCCTGACTTTTGAAGGCAGGAGAATCAGAAGTTCAAGGTCATCCTTGGCTAGCAAATTGGGTCCATCCTGTGCTACATGAGACTCTGCCTCAAAAAAAGTCCCCCAAACAAATACTAACTGGAGACAGATAGTGACCAACATGTCCCCCAGTTCTTTTCAGTTCCTTCACAAAACAACTCTCTTCTCCCAAGCCTCCCAACCTCAGTCTCTGTCCTTAGCCCTCTTCAGACATAACTAAAGAGCTCACCCACCCAGCAGTTCCTACTGAGAGATGCTTATCACAGAAAGATAGTGTTGATAAGATCTCTGCCCTCTTCGGGCCCACAAATGTTCCATCTATTAGTAGATCTTCTGTGAGTGTGTGAGAGTGTGTGTGTGTGTGTGTGTACAGGTGTGTGTGTGTGTCCATGTGGAGGACAGAGGGCAATCTGGGGTATTAGTCCGGTATTATTCATCCACCCTTTTGTTTGTTTGGGGTTTTGTTTGTTTGTTTGTTTATTTGTTTGTTTTGAGACTGGGTCTCTAGTCCCACCTGGAACTTGGTAGACCAGGCTGACCTCCATCTCACAGAGCCTGCCATTGCCCCCCGCCACCAGCCCTGAGATTAAAAGTGTGTGCCACTATGCCTAGCTCCACCCTTTTTGTTTTGTTTTGTTGGTCTTTTTTTTTTTCCTTAATTTTTTTGAGACAGGGTCTCCCTGTAGCCCAGCCTCCTGAGTGCTGGGATTAAAGGCGTGCGCCACTATGCCCAGCTTCTTTTCATTTTTAATTAATTCATTTATTTTTCTTCTCTTTTAATATTTTACTTATTTTTATTTTGTGTGTTATGAGTGTGTATTGCCTGTATGTATGTAAGTGCACCCATGTCCTGCAATGCCTGTGGAGGTCAGAAGGAAACATGGGATTCCCCTGGAACTGGAGTTAGCCACCATGTAGGTGCTGGGAATTGAACCCAGGTTCTCTGCAAGAGCAGCCAGTGCTCTTAACCGCGGAGTCAACTCTCCAGCACTTTATTTATTTTTATTTTTATTTTATATGTAGGAGTATTTTGCCTGCATATAAGTGTACCACCTGTGTGCAGTGCCCACAGAGACCAAAAGAGGGCATCAGATCCCCTGGAACTGGAGTTATGGATGCTTGTTAGTCACTGTGTGGGTGCTGGGAATCAAACACAGGTCCTCTGCAAGAGCAGCCAATGCTCTTAACTACTGAGCCATCTCTCCAGGCCCTTGTTTTGTTTTTGTTTGTTTGAGATGGTCTCACTCTGTAACCCAGGATGGCCTCCAACTTAAAATCCTCCTGCCTCAGCCTTCTGAGTGCTGGGACGGTGGGCATGTGCCACCCCTGAGGAAATTCAGCACCGAGTAGCTGTGGCATGGTCTCCAGGACCCTTTTTGCATTTTCTGAAGTCCTGAGCATTTCCAGGCATAACCACTTCCCTCTCCTCCCATTCAGCCAAGAACCACACACCACACTCTGCCCTCAGGTCTCCTTAGTCTCCTTTGTTCTCAGCTTCTCAGATTTCCTGTGACTTTCGCGTCCCTGATGCTTTTTGTTAAAAATTCCAAGTCACCCAAGGCTACATAGTGAGACCCTGTCTCGAAAAATATTTTAAAAATTTTAAATTTGGGGCTGGAGAGATGGCTCAGCAGTTAAGAACACTAGTTGTTCTTGCAGAAGACCTGGGTTCAAATCCCAGCCCCACATGGCAGCTAACAACTGTCCGTAACTCCAGTCCCAGGGGATCCGACAGCCTCTTCTGACCTCCGCAGCCATTGCACCACATGGATACACTGACCTACATGCAGGCAACACACGCATACACATAAAATAAGAATAAAAAATAAAAATTAAAAAAATTTTTAATTTAATTTATTATTATTGTATGTGTACATGTGTGAGAGTGTGGGCATGCTCTTTCCACATGTATGCAGAGATCTGTGGAAAGCCTATGGTGATCAGTTCTCTACCAAGTGAGTTCCAGGGACTGAACTCAGGTCATCAAGCTTGGTGGCAAGTGCCTTTACCCACCAAGTCATCTTGCCTGGCCTTATTATTATTATTATTATTATTATTATTATTATTATTTTGTTTGTTTGTTTGTTTGAAAAATGGAGCTAACCAGCGCTTTCTCACAGTCACTGTCACAGCACCGAGGGGAGCAGAGGGCTGTAGGTCTACCCTCAAGAAGTACACAGCACAGAGACTGGTGAGTGGATATTTGAGCTGTGCTGGAAAAGACACAGAAACTGGCTGGGCGTGGTAGCACACCTTTAATCCCAGCCCTAGTGAGGCAGAGACAGGCAGATCTATGTGAGTTCAAAGCCAGCCTGGTCTACCTAGTGAGTTCCAGGCCAGCTGGAGCAACAGGGAGACCCTTCTCAAAAAAACCAAAAAAAAAAAAAAAAATGGAGCTGATATCCCCAATGCTATGCTCTCCATTGAGTCTAAATTTGAAATATCCTGAGGCTTTGGAATACAAAGTTTATTTCGTTGAGGTTTTTTGTTTTTGTTTATTCATTTGTTTTGTTTTTTGAGGTCAGGTATCCTGTTACCCAGGCTGACCTGGAACTTGCTATGTAGCCAATAATGATCTTGAACTCCTGATCCTCCTGCCTCCATCTCCTGAGTACTGGGATCACAGTGTACAGCACCACACCTGGTTTATGCAGTGCTGGGGCTTGAACCCAGGGCTTCTTGCATGCTGGCAAGCACTGTATCAAATGAGCCACATCCCCAGCCCACAGGATTCTGAGAGTCTAACATCCATATGCAAATATCACCAGCTAACTTCTGTTTTAGTTGACTTGAGACAGGTTCTGGCTATATAGCCCAGGCTGGCCTCAAATTGGTGATCCTTCTGATTCAGTCTCCCAAGTGCTAGGAATATAGTTGGCCACCACCATGGCTGGGTAAATTTGAGTGAGCACTCCTTCTGTATAAACTCAGCTTTCTCCTTTGCACACCACCCCCACCACAATGCAGCGAAGTAGCCACAGCCATTAGCTTCATCGTACAGCTGAGATCCTGAAGTCAGAAGTCACACAGTTGAGCTGGACTTGCAGCTTGTTAGCAACAGAGCCCTGTCCCTCCAGTTCTGATCTTGTCACTTATCACAGGACCTTGGGGTCCCTGTGTCTTTCTCACTGAGCCTGGATCCTCCTGAAGAACCTTTTAGAGCTACTCCGCAGTCCAGCCAGAACTCCAATTAGAGGTTGTGCTGAACCCCTCACCTACAGGATGGGAGGCCATAGATGTGTAAGATTCATTCACATCTCAGTCTGGGTGGGGCATGGCTCATCAATAGAAACTTGCCTAGAATCCTCTAGTGAGGGGCTAGGGGCGTGGTTCAGTGGTAGAGCACCTGCCTAGAATCCCCCAATGAGGGGCTGTGGGCATATCTCAGTGGTAGAATACTTGCCTAGAATCTCCCAGTGAGGGGCTGAGTGTATGGCTCAGCCACAGAGCACCTGCCTAGCAAAACATGCATCTGTTTCCATTCCTATTACTGTAAATAAAACAATAAAAAAACAACAAAAACCTTATCCTCCTAATGATGTCCACAGCCATGCTAAGACATGCCCATTCATTCTAGTCCCCTCAAAATTTCACCCTGAATAATCAGATGTCACTTCAGGTGCCCTCCCCGAAACTGCTGGTTACAAACTCTTGTAGGTGTTCAGAGACCTAGGTCTGTTCTCTCCTTCCTCTGCTCTGAAGCTTCCCAGGATCGATCTCTCTCTCTCTCCCTCTCTTTCTCTCTCTCTCTCTCTCTCTCTCTCTCTCTCTCTCTCTCTCTCCTGAAATCCTTCCCAGGGCTCATGAGGCCCTGTGAGATCTGTCCCTGTCCCTTCCATGTTGCCACCTGACCCCTTGCTCCCTGCACTGCAGCTGCACTGGGCTCCTGGCTGCTCTTAAACACACCAGGACAGCTCCAGCAAAGGCCTGTTCCCCTTCCAGTGTGTGCTTCCCCAGTTCCTCCCCACTCCCTCCCCATCAGCTCCAGGCCATGGCTCCCCTGTCCCATGGGCCTCCCTAAGGCAGCCCCCTCTTCCCACCCTCTGCCCTCTACTCAGTTCTTCTCCCTGGCACCACCACCACCTGATGCTACATCAGAAGCTCCACCCAGGCAGAGGCGTTTGTCCCACTCTGTTGATGTGTGTTATCGCTTTGCTTTGTTTGTTTGTTTGCTTGCTTTTTTAAAAAATATTTTATTATTTTTATTTTATGTGTATGAGTATTATGTCTGCATGTAAGTGCACCTGTGTCGTGCAATGCCCAAGGAGGACAGAAGAGGTTGTTGTATCCCCTGGAACTGGAGTTATGGATAGTTGTTAGCTGCCACGTGGGTACTGGGATTCTGCAAGAACAGTCAGAGTTCTTAACCACTGAGCCATCTCTCCAGGCCCTGCTTGCTTGTTTTTAAAAATATTTTATTTATTGTTTTTATGTGCATGAGTGCATTGCCTTGCATGTGTGTATGTGCACCCATGTCATGCAGTGCCCATGGAAGTCAGAAGAAGGAGTTGGATTCCCTGGAACTGGAGTTATAGATGGTTGTTAGCTGCCATGTGGATGCTGGGAATTGAACCCGGGTCCTCTGTAAGAGCAACCAGTGTTCTTAACTGCTGAGTCATCTCTCCAGCCCCTGCTTATTTTATGAGACAGTCTCACTATGTAGTCCAGACTGGCCTGCAACTTGCTATGTAGACAAGGCTGGTCTTGAACTTAATTGTGATCCTCCTGCCTCTGCCTCCCAAGTGCTAGGTTTGCATGTATGAGCCAGCATGGCTCCTGTATTTCCCTGACATTCTTAGGCCAGTGCCCAGTTAGTATCTATGGGATGGATAGGTGGATACATGGATGGATGGAGTGTAATTAAATTGTGAAATGAGCCATTGGGAAAGGAATCCAGCTCTGCCATAAGGCTGTGAGACCTGCTGGGATGGGGCCTGGTCTCTACTCTGTCCCCAGCATGGCTCAGCATAGCTCAAGGGCTTGGGGGAGGGTTTGCTGAGCGAATCAATCCAAATTAAGGAGTGGGGACTTTCTCCTGGGGGCACCTGAGAGCATAGGTTTTGCTGTCATTGCTGGATTTGGGGTTGATTGGTTGGTCTTGGTTTTTGAGACAAGGTCTCACTTTGTAGCCCACAGTGTTCTGAAATTCACTATGTAGCCCAGGTTGGCCTTGAGCACATGGTGATCCTCCTACCTCCTAGGGCTAAGATTACATGCATGAAACACTTCACTCAGCTTTCGAAGTTTTAAAAATTATTTATTTTTTATTATCTTTAATGCTTTATTTTATTATTTTTATTTATGTGTAAATAAACACATGTGTGTCTGCCATGTGAGTGTGGGTGCCCTCAGAAGCCAGAAAAGGGTGTTGGATACCTGGAGGTGGAATTACAGGAGGTTGTGAGTCCCCAGATATGGGCACTGGAAACCACGCTTGGTTCTGGCAAGAGTAAACAGTGCTCTTAACAGCTGAGCCATCTCTCCAGCACCTTGAAAATTTTTAATTGAATTTATTATTTGTGTGCGTGTGTGTGTGCATGTGAGTGTGTATGCACGTATGGACGCCCATGTGTGCCATGGTGCCTAAGTGGAGGTCAAAGGACAACTTGCCAGCCAGAATTGGTTATTTCCTTCCACTTTGTGGGTTCTGGGATCTAACTCAGGTCGTCTGGCTTGGCAGCAAACTTCTTTGCCCTCTAAGCCATCTTCCCAGCGCCCACACAGGACTGACTGCTCAGAAACTCTAACTCCAGCTCCAGGGAATCAGGGAATTTGATGTCCTACCCTGGCCTCCCTGGGCACCAGCACAGAGGTGGCATATACCCACAGAGACACACATAATTAAAAACAACATGGTGGCACACACGTTTAATCCCCCCTGGGGGGGGCAGAGGCCGGTGGTTCTTTGTGACTTTGAGGCCAGCCTGGTCTACATAGTGAGTTCTAGGCCAGCCAGGGCTACACAGTGAGACTCTGTTTCTAATAATAGCAAATCTTTAAGGCACACCCTCCTCATCCTTGTGAGACTGGCCCTGTCTGCTCCCCTTTCCTCCGGGAAGCCCACCCTGATGCACAGGCCTGATGCCCTCCTCCCATCCTCCTGCAGCGAGGGCACGCTGGTGTTCAAGCCTGGCGAGACACAGAAGGAGCTGCGCATAGGCATCATTGATGACGACATCTTCGAAGAGGATGAGCACTTCTTCGTGCGGCTGCTGAACCTGCGCGTGGGCGACGCACAGGGCATGTTCGAGCCCGACGGCGGCGGGCGGCCCAAGGGGCGGCTGGTGGCCCCGCTGCTGGCCACCGTCACCATCCTGGACGACGACCACGCGGGCATCTTCTCTTTCCAGGACCGCCTGCTGCACGTGAGCGAGTGCATGGGCACCGTGGACGTGCGCGTGGTGCGCAGCTCGGGCGCGCGAGGCACCGTGCGCCTCCCCTACCGCACGGTGGACGGCACGGCCCGCGGTGGCGGCGTGCACTATGAGGACGCATGCGGGGAGCTGGAGTTCGGAGACGACGAGACCATGTGAGCGGGACGGACTCGAGGGATGGAGAGGCGGAGACGGCAAGGGGGCAGCTGGGCCTGAGGGAAGCCCTTGGCTGGAGGATGAGGCCTGAGGAATAGCCTTGGCTAGAGGGTGGGGAATGACTATAGTGAGCCTGGCCTGGCCTGGAGGGTGGGCGTTTGTGGTGGGCGGGGCCTGAGGGATGGCCTGGGCTGGAGGGTGTGGCAAGGCTATGGTGGGCGGGGCCTTGGATGGAGAGCGGAGCTGGGCCTGAGGGATGACTTTGGTTGGAAGATGAGGCCTGAGGAATAGCCTCATTTAAAGGGCAGGGGTAGAGCTGCGGTGGGCGTGGCCTCTGCTGGAGGGCGGAGTTGGGACTGAGGGATGGCCTTGGCTGGAGGGTAGGGTGGGGTGGGGCCGTGGTGGGTAGGGCCTAAGGAATACCCTCAACTGGAGGATTGGAGAATGCGGGTAGTGCCTTTGGGATGGCTTCAACTGGAGGATGGGGCCTGAGGAATAGCCTTGGCTAGAGAGTGGGGTGGGGCTACGGTGGCTGTGGCCTAAAGAATGGCCTTGGCGGGAGGATGGGGTGGGGCAATGGTGGGCAGGGCCTGAGGGATGGCCTCAGCTGGAAGATGGAGCAGGGCTACAGGGAGTAGGCAGGACCTTGAAGGGAGGAAGTAAAGATAAGGTAGGCTTGGCCTGAGGGAATGGGCGTGGCTGAGATGGGGGGGGTGGCATTAAGTGGGTGGGAGCGGTGCTAAGGTGAGACAGGCTAAGGAATGGCCGAGGATTGGGGCGGAGATGGGGACCTTGTCTGATAGAGAGGTGGAGCTTGAGAAATGGTCTTGGCTTGGGCTGACGCTGGGGCTGGGCCAATGTGGGTCAGACTGGATCTTGACCTTGGCTGGGGTGGGGGGGCGAGACTGTGGAGAGTAGGCGGGGACATGAAAGGAGGAAGCTTGACAGAGGTGTGGAGCACGAGGGTAGAGGTGCGCTATTGAAGTAGCCTTGGTTGGGAAGTGGGGCAGGGCTGTGGGCATGGACGAGGCCGTGGTGAGCAGGACCTGTGAAATGGCTTTAGCTGGGAGGTGAAGTACGGCTGTGGAGACAAGGCGGGGCCTTGGCAGTGGGCGGGGCCATGCAGAACAAGGGAAGTCGATGGGCCTGAAAAGGGGCGGGGCCCCGAGTGGACTTGGAGAGTGGAGTTGGGAGAGGCAAGTTGGGTTTGTAAAGGGGCGGGGCCTGTGAAGGACTGTGCCAGAGAAATAATTTGGGTAGAGGGATGGGGTCCTAGAAAGGGGCGTGGCCTCACGGAGGGGCAGGGCCTAGTAAGACCAAGCCAGAAGAGAGCTTGGCTGGATAGGGGAGTGGTACCTTGGCTATGGGCGGGCTCTAGGAGGCGGGACCTGGGAGTGGGCGGGATCTGGGAGGTGAGGCTGGCGGGCTTGAGGAAGAACCTGGGAAAACAGCAGAAAAGTGCGGGTCCTGGGGAGGTGGGACACCGTGGTCCTGCGGATGTGGGGTACCTGAGTCCTGGGGAGGTGGGGCACCGGGAGCGTCCTATATAGGCAGACGGACATGGCATCGCAGACCTTATGCCCTGGCACGGCCACAGAGGCCCACAGCTCACCTCCCCCGCGCCTGCCAGGCGCAGCCGGTGCAGCTCCTCCGCGCCTGCCGCCCCCGCAGCGGCTGGCTCCCTCCTCCTGCCGCCCACGCGCGCTCCCTGCAGCCGCAGGGCCTCCACCTCGGCTTCCCCCCCATCCTCCCCCCGCGCTCAATGGTTCTCCATTTCTGCGCCCCTGACTTCCCAAACGATGCCTCTCTGGCTCTGTCTTTAGCCGTGGTCCCTGCACAGCCGTCTATGTCTATGAGGCCCTGTCTCAGAGTTAGTCGCTGCTGAGAGTGACTAGTTCATCTCCCAAACCCAAGGTGCAGGGGCAATGGATAAAGTTGTCTTTTTGCTGTCTTGGTACTTCTGGTAATCTAACCCGCATCTCTCCTGCTGCTACAATTCCACGGGCCTCTCCTCCCCCACAGGGCTTCCCCAGCCTGGGATACCCGCTCTCCTCCTGCCTCCTCCCAAGCTTCCAGCTGTGGCTTCTGGAGACAAGCGAACAGGAGGCTAATTAGCGTTTAGAGAAACACATCCGTCCTCTGATGGGCAGGCGCTAATTAGAGGCGCCTTGAAGCAACAGGCTGGAGTGGAGGCCGAGACAGGATCAACACAGTGTGTGGCAGAGACAGGAAGAGTCAGAGACAGAGTAACAGAGACGGAACAGGCAGACGGAGACGCACAAGACACCCAAAGGGAAGAGGGAGGAGGCAGGTACCTTGAGGGAGATGGAGAGAGAAGGGCAGGCTGGGGAAGAGACTCCAACCCAGGGAACTGGAGTCAGAGAGAAACCAGAGAATGAGACAGAGACTGCGTCTGAGACGGGAGTCTTGGGAAGTTGAGGAGTAGAATGGAGTTTCCAGGAACTGAGGGAGAGGGGCTGAGGAGGAAAGCTGCTTCCTAAGATCTCAAGAAAGTCCTTCCCTTTGTCTTTCTTGAGTTTCTCCGGCCGTCCTTTCAGTTGGAATTCTTGGCTCCCTGGGTGTTCGGCTGTCAGGGTGATTTGTCAGGACGCTGGCTGACAGGCCTGTCACCAAGCCTCAGTCACTGTGCGCTAACAGCTGGTGGCGAGTCTGGGAGAGTGCGTGTGCCACCATGTCAATATGTCAGGATGTCTTGGGAGACTCCACACCCCCTCACCCCTTCTCCCCACCTCCCGGCTCCTAGATGCAGGGTTTCAGCACCGCGGACAGCGCCAGGCCCACGCCCTGCCCTTTTCTTCTGACCTAAGAGAAATTCACAAAGTAGTTTGAAACCCAATGAGGCCTAATGGCGCGTGCCTGCAATCCCAGCACGTGGATGCGGAGGCTGGAGGAGTGCCATGAGTTCCAGGCCAGTCTGGGCTATAAGTGTGAAACCCTGCCTCAAAAGCTTGTTTTACAGCTCGAGCTGGGGATATAGCTCTGTAGGTAGTGTTTGCCTGGCGTGTCCAAAGCCCTGGGTTCTATCTCCAGCACCACATAAACGAGGCATGGTGATGCTTGACTGTAATCCCAGCAGTGGGGTGGTGGAGGCAGGACAATCAGGAGTTCAAGGCCATCTTTGTCTATACATCAAGTTTGAGTATTTTAAACTATTATTGTGTATGATGAGTGTGTTGCTGTGCATGGGACAGCACATGTGTGGAGGCCAGAGGACAACTCTTCAGAGTCAATTATCTCCTACTTTTTACTGGGTTCCAGGGATGAAACTCAGGTCATAAGGCATTTGAAGCAAGTAAGCATTTTTACCTGCTGAGCCATCTCACCAGCCCTACCTGGGCTACATGAGCTCCTGTCTTAAATAAATAATCTTGAAACCAAAAGGGTGGAGGTGGGCGTCTGTCCTCACAGGACCGTCTGGCAGCACACCAGCCTTGGACCCAGTCACTGTGCTGTGTGTGTTCCCTTGCTGAAATGTGTCAGTTGAGCCCACTGCCTGGTTGGAAACCTTCTGTCTGAGCATATTAACTTTGATTATTTCATTCTTTGGGCCCCAAGGGATGGAGACAAAAGGGAAGAATGTAGATAAAAAAGGGCTAAGAAGGAGGAGGGATGGAGGAAGAGATACAGAGACACAGACACACAGAGAGAGGCAGAGAGATGGGAAGATGAAAGAGAGACAGACATGCAAAGAGAGATGCTGAGGGGATGCACATGGGCAGCAAGAGGCCCAGAGGGAGAGATGTAAGCCTGGAGTGCACAAGCCTGCAATCCCAAGCTTTCAGAGGCAGAGGCAGGAGGATGGTGAATTTTAAGCCTGGGCTATGTAATGAGTTCAAGACCAGCCTGGGTTACATAGAAAGTTTGAGGCCAGCCTGGGCTATATAGTGACACCCTGTTTCACAAAAACAGCAAAAAATAATTAAATACAAATTAAAAGAGCAAAGTCTGAGGAAGGAGCGTCCGAATGCCATAGAAGGGGTTTGCAAGGTGGTGATGTCTCCGGCTGTGCTGGGGGTGTCTCGGGAAGGAACAGGCAATCTGTTCCCTGTGATCATGCGCTGCTGGAGGATGACTGCGGGTGCCGTGGCTGTGCGCTGCGTGGGTGGGTGACTGGTAGAGCTTCCTCTATTGGTGACTGTGTGGGTGGGGTGTTTGTGTGGCTGGGATCTGGGGCCAGGCCTTATGGGGCTGGCTCCATACAAGGCTCCTCTAGCCAAAAGAGTTTCTGGCAGTCAATTTGTGAGCATTCTGGGCTGTGAGCATTAGCAGTTGCAGGTGGGGTGGGAGCTGTGTGGGTTGAGTGCCTTAAGGGGACAGGTAATGTCAGGCTAGTCCTTACCCCACCCTGGTTACCATAGGAACAAAAATCCCTTCCTCCTTTCTTCCTTCCTTCCTTTCCCTCTCTAGCCCTGGCTGGACTTGATCTCATGATAATTCCCCTGCCTCCGTCCCTCGAGTAACAGCAGATATGTGTTTGTGCATGTGTGTGAGTGTTTGTGAAGACCAGAGGATCACCTCGGGTGTTACCTTCAGGAACACCGTGCACCTCTTCGAGACAGGGTTTCTCATTGGTCTGGAGATCACCATTTAGTCCAGTTGGATCAGCCAGCCAGCCCCAGAGATCCTCCCATCTCCCCCTCCCCAGAGCTGGGATTACAGGTGTGTGCCACCATGCCTGGCTTTTTGCCTGGGTGCTGGGTATTGAACTCGGGCCATTGGCTTGCGATGCAAGCACTTTACTGACTGAGCCATCTCCTTAGCTCCTTCCAGGTCCAACTTCATTCAGCCACATGATTTGAGCTCTTGGGGCTGTTTCTGACACATGGGGAGGAAAATTGCGCCTCAGTCCTAGGGTGGTTGGGTGTGGCAATACAGATGAGAGTCTGGGACAGAGTTGGTGCTGAGGCGACCGGTGGCTATTGCAGCATCCTCTGGTGGCTGTGGGGAGGGGGCTTTACGTGGCCTTTCTGCCTGCCCCTCCCCCAGGAAGACCCTGCAGGTCAAGATTGTGGATGATGAGGAGTATGAGAAAAAGGACAACTTCTTCATTGAGCTGGGCCAGCCCCAGTGGCTTAAGCGGGGGATCTCAGGTGAGTGGTGACAGATGGCCACGGGAGAAGCAGGGGGTCCAGGGTTAGTGGGGGGGCCCTGGGGGCTCATGAGCATGAGCTTTCAGGGGAAGTGACTCTCTCATTGTGTCCCTGTCTCTGTCTCTCCTCAGCTCTGCTCCTCAACCAAGGTGAGTGAAGGGGCTTCTGGTGGGAAGGGGAGGAGCCATTGGAGCCCCAAGGGTGGGTTTCAGGCTGGCTGGATGTGAGAGACAGGTAGATTCATGTGGGTGAGGGTTAGAGCTGGCTGGGGGCTGGGGGTGGGTTATCATAGATGTCAGGATGACACTTGCTATCAAAGTTGGGGAGCATCTGGGCTTGAGGTGGGGTCCACAGGAATTGAGTTTGATGTTGGTCAGGACAGGGGTGGATGGGGATCTGAGATCCGTGTTCCCACTGGGTCAAGATGGGACCTGAGATGGAGATTGTTTGTGGAGCTTGTGATAGAATCAGATTAGAATTGGGGTCCTGACTGTATCAAACTTGAGTTTGGGGGCTGGAGAGGTGGCTCGGTGGTTGAGTGCTTGAGGACCTGAGTTGGGTTCCCAGAACCCACATTGGGTAAATCACAGCCACCTGTGGTTCCAGGGGATCCAACACCCCCTTCTGACCTCCTCAGGCACCTGCATGCATATATGCATGCACACACACACACACACACACACACACACACACACACATGCACACACACATAAAAAAAATAAATCTGGAGCTGGAGAGATGGTTCAGTGGTTAAAAGCACTTACCACTTCCAGAGGATCCAAATTCAAGTCCCAGAACTCATATGGCAGCTCACAGCCATCTGTAGCTCCAGTTCCAGGGGATCTGACTCCCTCTTCTGGTCTCTGTGGGCATTTCACAATATGTGGTACACATACATATACACATGCCAAAGAGTCATACACATAAAAATAATAAATAAAGAATGAATGAATAAATAAATAAATAAATAAATAAATAAATAAATAAATAAATAAAAATCATTTTTTAAACTGAGGTTGGAGTTTGAGGAATTTGACTTAGAAATAGGTCAAGGAAGGCTGGGGATGTAGCTCAGTTGGTAGAGTGCCTAACTAGCATGAACAAAGCCCTGGGTTCCATCCCCAGCACCTCATATCTGAGTGTGGTGGTGCAGGCCCATTATCCCAGTATTTGAAAGGGGAGCGGAGACAGGAGGACCAGAAACTAAAGTGCATCATCAGCTGTATAGTGAGTGTGAGTCCATCCTGGGCTACTAAAAAAAAGAAGAATTAGTGTCAGGGGGTCAGAAATTGGGGTCAGAGTTGAGAGGCTAGAGCCAGTGGCTTGGAGACAGTGACAGGAGTTTAGGGGCAAGATCTCTATTGGAGCCTGCAGCTAGGAATAGTGTGAGACTAAGACTATACCAGTTAGGGGAACAAATACAAGCTGCAGTAACAAACAGGCCTGCCAGTGCCCAGTGCTTGCTACAGTAGAAGTGATTGCTTGCCCAGGTGAAGTCTATGAGTCTATCTACATAACAGGTGACTTTCTTCTCCCATGTGGCCTTTTCATCCTGTGGCTCCACCCACCATTCAACTTGGCTGTTTTCTCCAGGCTCTCTGCAGCCAGCTTGCAGCTGGGCAAGAGAGTTCCCAGGACCATAAGGGAGACCTCCAAGGGCCAATTGCCCATCACTTCTCCGCACATTCTACTGGCCATAACTGTCCTGATGCTGCAAAGAAGGCTGGGAAATGTAGTCCAGCTGTTGGCCCACAGGATTGGATGAATGGGCAGTGGTCTCTGCCACATCGTCAAGTTCTTTGCCTAGTGGTTGTGTCCACACAGGGAGCTTGAACTGAGGCCTGGCACTGAGTGTAGAGTTGATATTGAACTCGCATTTTGGACCAGGCTTGGGGTTACTGATGGGGTCTAGTTGACATGGAGGCTGAGTAGTAGGAGTGTGTGAGATCAGATCTGGGATTGAGGGTTTCGATTTGAGGTCAGAGTTGGTGATAGCTCTATGACCACAGTTAGAATTAGGCTTGAAGTTGGTGGTCAGAGCTTGGGGTGAGTTGGTGCTGGGCTTGGAATAAAAGAAAGAAATACTTGGGGGAAGATAACTGACCTCAGGGCCAGAATCTGGGTCCAAGATCTGTGCTTGGGGTGGGTGTCCTCCTCCCTCACACATTGCATGCACCCTAAGGAGCCTCCAGAGCTCAGCTGCAAAGACCAGGCCTCCTCCCACAGGGTGGTGATGGTAATGACAATGTTAGTGATAAAGAAAATAACTGAGGAGCTGGAGAGATGGCTCAGTGGTTAAGAGTTCTGGCTACTCTTGCAGAGGACCTGGGTTTGGTTCCCAGCACCCACATGGCAATAGCCATCTGTAGCACCAGTTCCAGGGGATCTGATGCCGTCTTTTGGCCTCTGAGGACATTGCATGCATGTGGTACACTTACATACCTACAGGCAAAACACTCATACATATGAAATAAAAATAAATAATTAGAGCTGGACGTGGTATAGGCTGGGTGTGGTGACACATGCCTTTAAGCCCAGCATTTGGGAAGCAGAGGCAGGTGGATCTCTGTGAGTTCAAGGCCAGCCACACAGTGAATTCCAGGCATGGTGGTGCACACCTTTAATCCTAGTACTCAGGAGGCAGAGGCAGGCAGGTATCTGTAAGTCCATCCTGGGCTATTAAAAACAGAAGAAGAAGAATTAGTGTCAGGGGGTCAGAAATTGGAGTCAGCGTTAAGGCCAGTGTTTTAAATTTCATTGTATATATATTTTTATGTAACCTGCTTCAGGTTATTTCTGGAAAAATGTGTTAAAATTGCCTCTCTTTGGAATAATAAAAATATTCTTAAAAAAATAAAGCAAATACGAAATTGGGAAAGTAAGGAGGCGGGAGTGGATCTAAGAGGAGATGAATGGGAGAGTGAATATGGTCAAAATACATGAAATTCTCAAACAATTAGTAAAATATTATTTTTAAAAGTTGGACTGTGTTAATATTATGACATTAACATGATATCTTGAGAACAAAGAAAGTTAAGGTGATAGCCTAACAGAATGTGTTTGTAAGTCAAGTTGATAAGGGGTGGACTTGAAATGGCTTATCTTGGTTGTCAACTTGCCATACTTAGGAAGACGAAATCTCACTTGAGGAATTTTCCCCATTAGATTGGCCTGTGGGTATGTCTGTGGGGCATTTTCTTGGCTGTTGAATGATGGAAGAGGGCTCAGCCCACTGTGGGCAGTACCACCCCTGGGCAGGTGGTCCTAAGTTTTATTTTTAAAAAAGGGTAGCTGAGCAAGCCAGAGGAAGCAAGCCAGTAAGCAGTGTTCCCCCGTGGTCTCTGCTTCAGTTGCTGCTCCAGCGTCCTGCCTTGAGTTTCTGCCTTGGCTTCCCTTAATGACAGCCTGAAACCCGTAAGCCAAATAAACACTTTCCTTCAAAAATTAAAATTAAAAATTAAAAAAGATTAAGGCCAGCCTGGTCTGCATAGTGAGTTCTGGGTTAGCTGGGGCTACATGGAGACCCTGTCTCAAAAAGTCAAAATAATTTATAAATAATTAATTTAAAAAGAAAATAACTAAATATTTACTGTATGTCAGGCACTATGCTAAGGACTTTCACAAATTAACTAACTTAACTCTCCCAGCCACCCTATGAGGTAGGTGTCATTATTGTGCCCATCCCACAGATCTGAAAACTGAGCCGAAGATATGAAACTGAGATTTGAAGGCACTACCTGAGGTCACACAGCTGCCACCCAGAGCCCATCGATACGATAGAACTACATGGGTCTCAGGCTGAGGGAACAGATTTGGTCAGAAGGGAGCTCAGAGGGGTCACCGAGGAGGTGCCCCAGAGAGAACAGATAAGTTTTCACTATCAGAGGGAATAGTCATGACAGGCCCAGTTAGGCAGGCCTCCTGGATGTCTAACCCCATCCTTTATGCTGCAGGAGATGGGGATAGGAAGTTGACTGCCGAAGAGGAAGAGGCCCGGAGGATAGCAGAGATGGGCAAGCCAGTTCTCGGGGAAAACTGCAGACTGGAGGTCATCATCGAAGAGTCTTATGACTTTAAGGTGATCCCTCAGGGCCTCTCTCCTTCCAGAAGCCTGACCTGGGCCATAGCCACAGGGAGGGTCTGAGGATGGGAGACCGTGAAGATCCCAAAGTTGGTACCCCAGGGAGGCCCCTGGACCGCGTCTGGGCCCGTATTCAGCACCGTGGACAGCGCACGACTCCTTCCCCTTGCAGGCTTTCAGGGCTGGGCTGGGGAAGGTAGAGGATCCATGAGTTGTGGGTGTGGTTCCCAGCCCCTCATCATGCCACCCTGGGGTGCACATGGGCAACCATCCCTCTCCGACTTTCTCATTCCCAGAACACGGTGGATAAACTGATCAAGAAAACGAATCTGGCCTTGGTGATTGGTACTCATTCGTGGAGGGAGCAGTTTTTAGAAGCAGTGACGGTGAGTGCAGGTAAGTAAAGGGGGTGAGGAGAGGAAGGGGGTGGGGAGACAGAGAGAGACATCGAAGTACGTGGGGGAACGCAGAAGGCAGAGGAAGGCGCTGAGAGGCCGATAAAGCGCAGAGGTCCTGAGAGGGAGATGCAGGCAGACCGGGCAGCGACCAGCTGACTGATGGCAGCCTCCTGGGAAGGTTCAGCTTGGGCTTCCAGCTGAGGCTGGTGGAATCCCAGCCTGGGCTTTCCCGTAGCAGCGTCAGGAAGTAGGAAGGTAGACAGGTGAAATGGCAGCGGACCTCCCCAAGACAGCTTTGGGCTGGGCTTCTCTGTTGCCTTGGAAACTGTCGCTGGGGGTGGGGGGGAGCACCAGGCTCTCTCCCACCTGCACTGGTCCTTACACATTTTAGTTCTCTCGCGGGCCCTCGGCGCCCCCGTGTGGTCACAGACACAATGGCGCCTGAATCCTGAGAGTCCATCTTGAAAACCCACGCGGGACCCTGTGGGGAAACTGAGGTTCAAATCCAGGAGGGAATGGCCTGAAGTCTCATAGGGAGTACATAAAGGGAGATGAGGTTGCATTTCAGAGCTACATAATATCAGGTTTCCCTCAGGGAGGCCTCAGTAGGGAGGGACTAACACCTAAGGAATTATGGCTAAAAAGAAAGTGGTGGGCCTGCGAGATGGCTCAGCGGGTAAAGACGCTTGCCGCCAAGACTGCTGATCAGAGTTCTGTTCTCAGGACTTGCATGTGGGAGGAGATAACAATCCTGTAAATTATTCAATGTGCGCACACACGCTTTTAAATGAATGAATGAATAAAAGAAACTGGTGAGTGTAGTTCAAAAGTCCAATCTGTGACCAGGCGTGGTGGTATATACCTTTAATCACAGCATTCAGGAGGTAGAGGTAAGCAGATCTCTGTGAGATTGTTGCCAACCTGGTTTACATAGTGAGTTCCAGGTCAGCCAGGGCTATATAGTGAGAGCCTGTCTCAAAAAAGAAAAGAAAAGAAAAAAAAAAAAAACCAAAAACAAGGAGGCTGGAGAGATGACTCAAGAGGTTAAGAGCACCAACTGCTCTTGCAGAGGACCCAGGTTCAATTCTGAACCCACATGGACACGACTAACGACCGTCTGTAACTCCGCAGGACCTACACAGCATTGGCGCACTTACACACGTGTAGGCAATACACTCATATACATAAAATAAAAATAAACAAAAACAAATGAACAAAAGTCCAGGCTGTGAAGACAGAAAGGTACAAGGAGGCCAGCCTAGAGGTGCCTGTGTGGTGGCCCTACCCTCTGAGGCCACATTCTTCAATGTGTCTGAGGGATACATTGTTTGGGTGGGGGACAGGATATAGAGATGATGGGAGCAGCCCTAGCTGTGTCCCTACGGACTTCAAAGTGCAGTGGAGGTTATAGACATGTCACAAGACAGAACCCAGAGGGGCAGATCTGGGAGGGGACAGAGCTAGGAGGAGGTGCTCCTGACCGAGCCTAGGGGTCAGGGAAGGCTTCCTGGAAAGGGGTGTTCTACAAGGTTCTCAAATGGGGACAGTTATCAGCCACAGGAGGGAGGAGATGGCAGGGACGGTCTATGCAGAAGGAACACCAAAGACAGAAGTCTTCAAATGTTTGGAGATGGTGCCCAACTTGGGGCCTGAGGAAAGGGTAGGCTATAAGGCTAGAAAGCAGCGGAGTCCAGGTGTCTTTGAAGCAGTAGGGAGCCATGACCAACTCTGGAGCGGGGCAAGAAGCCTTAGTAAGGCTGTCTGTGGCCAGACTGCACTGCCTCAGCTGTGTCTCACTGTGGCTTGGAAAGGCTTTAGTTCAGAGGAAAATTCAACCAGAAATGACTGGAGACCCCTGACATTTAGTTTCTGCAGGGAAAACCTATGCTAATCCACACTAAGCGTATTTTGCGGTTCAGGGATGTCATTAAACCCTCCAGCTCCTTTTTCGCTTTGCCTTCCCCATCTAAGCTTTTGCCCTTATGGTTGCAGAAGAGCTGCTGCACCTCCGGGTATCCAGTCTGTATTCCAAACAGGAACAGAGAGGAAGCAGGGAAGACAGAAAGGGTGGTTGTCTGTTGAATTGGAGTTTCTAATTTTAGCTTCTAATTCCATTTTACTTGTGGTTTGGGTCAAAGCTTAGTTCTTACAGAAACAAAATCCCACAAAAACCACTTGGTTAAAACTCTACCAATTTAAGCATTTATTTCTTTAGCAAGTCAGTGGATAAGCAAGTGAGAAAAGATGGACAGGGCTATGTAACTGGAGCCCTTGAGTTGGTGGGACACTCTCTCCACCCCCAGCAGGTGTCCTCCTGTTCCCTGGAGAGAGAACTTGGAGAAGACTTGGGGTGGTGCCTGGCAAACTGCTCTGGCATCAGCTGGCTGGCCTGGCTTGACTCTCTGACTACTGGCTGTGTTTCTTATCAGCATTCCTCCAGCTGTGATGCTTGGCACACACAAATGTGCACACTGTTGCTCACTCATCACCTCCTGCTTATCAGTTCAGGATGAGGGCGCCAGACATTTCTTTTGTGCTTTCAAATCACACAAATCACTAGGTGCTAAAAGCTGGTCACAAGCTGTGAGAATTGAACCTCTTTACAAACCTCAGAAAAGACTCAGAGTGCCCGGTGCTCATCCAAGAGAGCTGGGCCTTTTCAGAACCCCTCCCTTTGTCTCATTGCCAGATTGGGGGTGGGGCTACCCACTGTTGCAAAGGGTTCTGGGAAAGCATGTATTTTAGCATTGCTGGCTGAAGGGAATTCTGGGAGAGTGCATATTTTTGTCTCAGGACATGACTGTTGCTAGCCTCAAGGGGTTCTGGGAGAGTGACTAATTTTAGCTGGGTATTTGTCTCTGTTTCACTGTAGGACATTTGGGGAAAGCCGGTGTGTTTAGCTGCATGTGGCTGCTGTTCACCACAGTGAATCTTGGTGTTTGGTTGGTTCATGGTGCTGGGGTTGGAACCCAGGAGCTCCTGCATTCTAGGCAGGTGTTCAGTCTCTGAGCCAAACCCCCAGGTTGCTACAATGAATCCAAGGAGTGAATATTTCTAGCTACGGAGATGGCTTTTTGTGGCTGTAAGAGCTTCTGGGAAAATGAATATTTTTAGCCCAGGACATGGTCACCCCCAAGAAGCCAGGACTACTGAGAAGCAGGGTGTTTTAGCAATATATGTACAGACTCCTCTAGCTGTGAGAGGTTCTAGGAAAATAATTGGATTTACCTGGGGCCAGCACTCTCTTAGCTGCAAGGGATTCTGGGAAAATAAGTATATTGATCTGGGCTCAAAACTCTGTTAGCTGCAATGGATGTTGGGAAAGTATGCTTGTCTGGGTCCAACACTCTCAGCTGCGAAGGAGTCTAGGAAAGTAAGTGTTTTCATCTGGGCCCAAGCAAGGGATTCTAGGAAAGAGTTTTCATCTGGGCCCAACACTTCAAGGCATGCTGGGAAAGTGGTTTTCTTATGGGATTCTATCTGGAAGCCTGACACAATGGACCTGTGTATGCAAAGTGCCCAGCTGGGTCATGTCCCCACAGGGGATGAGGAGGAGGAAGAGGACGGGTCCCGGGAGGAGCGGCTGCCATCCTGCTTCGACTACGTGATGCACTTCCTGACAGTGTTCTGGAAGGTTCTCTTTGCCTGTGTGCCACCCACTGAGTATTGCCATGGCTGGGCCTGCTTCGGTGTCTGCATCCTGGTCATCGGCCTGCTCACTGCCCTCATTGGAGACCTCGCCTCCCACTTTGGGTGCACTGTGGGCCTCAAGGACTCAGTCAATGCCGTTGTCTTTGTGGCCCTGGGCACCTCCATTCCTGGTAAGGCTGGACCGGCTTTGCAGAAGGTGGGGTTCCCACAAGACACCCTAGTGTCTCAAAAAAAACTGTGATGGGGCCCAATAAAAGGCAGGGAGGGAGTCCTGGGGGTGCGGGCTGAATCTCTGCCCAGAGATCAGGGGGTGTCACAGGGGACTGAGGTGGTGGGAAATGGTAGAGGGCAGACTCGAGCTCCATAGGAAGAAGGGGATGGCCACCAGAGTCAGGGCTGGCAGAGGGCTCCTGGAACATCACAAAAACTGCTCTGCGGTTCCACCAAACCATGTGGTACCAGTTTGGGGAAACAGCCAATGAATCTCAGAAGGTCATGAGGGTGTGGAGGCCAGAAGACAACTTGCCAGAGTCAGTTCTCTCCTTCCACATGTGGGTTCCAGGGATGGAACTCAGGTCATCAAGCTTGGTGACAAGTGCCTTTACCCAGGGAGCCATCTTGCCTACCAACACCCAGCTTTTTACCTGGTTCTCATGCTTGCACATTACCCATGAGCCCTTTCCTCAGCCCATTGTTTTTGGTTCCAGCCAGGTCAGGTTGGTCACAAACACTATGTAGAGGAGTCTGGTCTTGAACTCCTACTTCTCTGTCTCCACATCCCGATGTGTGGATTACAGGCACCACCATGTTTTCTTTTTTCTTTTTTTTTTTTTTTTTTTTTTTTTTTTTTTTTTTGAGACAGGTTCTCCTTATAGCCCCGGCTGGCCTGGAACTCATTATAGACCAGGCTGACCTTGAACTCACAGAGATCCACCTGCCTCTGCCTCCCGAGCACTGGGATTAAAGGCCAGCGCCACCACACCCGGGGCTTTTTTTGTGTTTTTTGAGACAGGATCTCAGTCTATAGTCTAGGTTGGCCACAAAACTCATGATTCTCCCACTTCAGCCTCCCGAGCGAGTGCTGGGGTTGCAGGTGATCGTACCTACCCTGGCTGTGTCTCTGAGTCCAGCTAGTAAGGGATGTGCCACAGAAATGGGCAGTGGACTGTGTCCAGTGGGAAGATGGTGGCCTTGGTCCCCTCCCTTCAGTAGGGAGGGCACCTTGGGAGAAGGGGGAGATTCCTTTCCTTCCACAGTGTGGAGTACAGGTGAAGGGACACAACAGCCTGGATTCCAGAGCAGCTGTGCTAGCCAGGCAGATGGTGGGGGAGGCCTAGAAGGCAGCGGGCTCTCTAAAGAGTGGACCCTACTAGAACAGACTGCCAGTCTCATAGAAAGCAAACAGCAGGTCATAAAAAGCAGAGAAAGTAGACAGTGGAGCCTCCTGATTGCACACAAGTCCCAAAGAAAGGCCATGAGTCCTATAGTTGCAATGTATTTGAGCCAACTTACTGTGGACGGGACTTGTATTAGTTATTTTTCTGTTGCTATGATTTTAAAAAACAACAACAAAATTTATAGAAGGAAGAGTTTATTTGGCATAAGGTTCCAAAGAGATAAGAGTCCATCACGGTGGGAGGCAGGGCAGGAGGCAGCAGAGCAGAAAACTGAGCACACACACACATCCTCAGGTAGGCACAAGAAGCAGAGGGAGAGGGGTGTGGGGTCTGCGAATAGGGCAGGGCTGGAACTCTCAAAGCCTGGCCCCCAGTGACGTGCTTCCTTTAACAAGGCCACACCTCCTAAACTTCCACAAACAGCCATCAACTGGGGACAAAGTGTTCAAATACTTGGAGCCTATGAGGGACAGTCTTCATTCAAACCACCACAGGGTCCATACACAGGTTAGTGAATATTACAGAAAGTAGACTGTAGTAGCCCACTCAGTGTACATGAATCCCATAAAAAGTAAACAGTGGAATCCACTCAACACAGATGAATTCCATAGAAAGTCGACAGTGGAGCTCCTGAGTACAGGCAAGTCCCATAGGAGGAGAGAGGGTGTCCTGTAGCACCTAAGCAGACAGTAGACAGTGACGCCTACTGTGTGCACACAGATCCCATAGCAAGCAGGTGAAGGTCTAGTGATGCCATCCCTCCCAGGGTGGCATGCGACCCTCCTAACCCGCATGTTTTATCCCCGCAGACACGTTCGCCAGCAAGGTAGCTGCGCTGCAGGACCAGTGCGCGGATGCATCCATTGGCAACGTGACGGGCTCCAACGCAGTGAACGTGTTCTTGGGCCTGGGTGTGGCCTGGTCGGTGGCCGCTGTGTACTGGGCGGTGCAGGGCCGTCCCTTCGAGGTGCGCACGGGCACGCTGGCCTTCTCAGTCACTCTCTTCACCGTCTTCGCCTTCGTGGGCATCGCCGTGTTGTTGTACCGGCGCCGGCCACACATTGGCGGCGAGCTGGGTGGCCCTCGGGGACCCAAGCTGGCCACTACCGCACTCTTCCTGGGCCTCTGGTTCCTGTACATCCTCTTTGCCAGCCTCGAGGCGTACTGCCACATCCGGGGCTTTTAGGCCCCTCACCACCCCCCTGAGGGTGGGGACTCAGTGGCACTTGCTCTTGGACCCCGTCTGTCTGGACTTAGCCTGGGCCCCTGTGACTCCTGGGTTCCCTCCTCATCAGGCCTCTTGGGGTCAGCCTCCCTTTCTGCCTGGGCCCCTAACCTCAGCCCCCTTCCTCAGCAAGTCTCCTTCCAACCCATCCCTTGTAACTTATACCAAAGCCCTTGACCAGACACCTACCCAGGCACAATTACCTCCTGGGTCTCCCCAGACATCCATCTTGGCTCTGTCCCTTAGCCACTCCTCCATCTGTACCCCAAAGCCTAAGAGCACCTTGTCCCCAGGTACCTCAGAGGGAGGCTGTTCTGTCCCAGGGTGCCAGGGATCCCTACCCTTACCCCCAACCCTCAGGGAGCTCCGTTTGGTCCCCAGGGATAGGAACAGGTGGGTGTATGTGTGAGGAGGGATGCACACCTCCCCCTGATTCCGCCACTCAGAGGCTGGAGAAGGGAGGAGGGACAGTTGGGGATTCTGTCCCCCAGGCTAAGCCTGAGGAGGCACATCTTGAAACCACTTCAGACATTCCAGCGCCCTACTCACCCTCCACTACCTCTGAGAGCCCAGCCACACCTTGGAGGGAGGGGCCTGTGTGTATATATATATGTGTTTGGGGGAGGGGGGACGAGGGAGGGTGCATGTCTTGGGGGAAGGGGCAAAGACAGACTTTTTCTTTGGAGAGGGCAGCACCAGACTCTATAGAGGACTGGGAGTCCAAGGGAGTCCCACTGATCTCCCCTGACTATTCTAGAAGGTTCATTTTGCCCTCAGTGCCAGCCAATCCGGGCAGGACCCTCAAAGAGGAGACCGAGGGTCCCAAAGGACCAATGCTACAAGCCAGCAAATGCTGCCACATCTCTGCCTGTTGGGGGGCGGGGGTGGAGGGGAGGGTGGGTTGGGATCTGGGTGGGCATTTTTAACTTCTCGGGCCTCCTGTATTTTCTTACTGTTGATGTTTCTTGCCCAAAAGGACACCATTGGGGTGTTGGGAGTGCTGCCCACTCCTTGTGACCCTAGTGTGATCCTGCCACCCCCATAACCTCCTGCTTATCCCCAAGGTTTTTGCATTTTGTCATCCAGTTGTGCATTGGCCCCATGGCCCACTGCCCTTCTCTCCCTGGCTCATCAGCATCAGTCACTGTCCCTTCTCTGTGGTTTCTGTACAAATTGCCATAAAATTTTGAAATTCTGCCTGAACAGTCCTCCCGTGGGAAGTTGGGATGCAGCAGGGGGTGGGGGTGTTAATAGCTCTGAGATGGTACCCTGCGCTTTAACTTACCCAGACCTCAGCAGGACACCCCAATATCCACAGGCCACATTCAAGAGCCCCTGGAGCTTCTGCTGGCCACGCCTCTGATCATCAGCCATTGGCTTCTGCTAGCCACGCCCCTGCTGTTCGCCTTGAGCTGGTTGCTCCGCCATTCCTCAATCCAGAACTTTCTTTGGAGGTGCCCTTGCTCATCACCCAAGGGTTTCCCCTAGCCACACCCCACCCATGAGCCACGCCTTCACCTGGTTCCTGGGGCTGTGCCCTCTAATCCACTAGTCATGCCGCCGCTCATCAGTCACAAATGTCTTGTTTTTTATAGAGCAACACTTAAAGACCCTAATTTGCCTGGGCCAGGGGGAGCTGGGGTTGATGGAGTTTCCTAAATCAAGTCATTTCCTCAGAAGCCTGAAAACTGGGGTGGAGAGTGAGTGTGTATCCCAGGGAAAGAGCACAGGCCAGGTAAAGGGGTGCTGCTCTGTAGGTGATGGCTTGTTCACAGGCTGCAGGGGGTGAGCAGGAACCAAAAGCAGGCTTCCTGCCAGGATGGAGGCACAGAGAACTTCAGTGGACCCAGCCACACTGAGGCTTGGAATTTAAAGGGAGGTTTGGAAAAGATTTTAAAAGGAGGAGCAGGCCAGCAGTTGAAGTAGGTCTATTTTGAGACAGGGTCTCCCTGTAGCCTCAGCTGTCCTGGAACTCACTATGTAGACCAGGCTGGCCTTGAACTCACAGAGATCTGCCTGTCTCTGCCTCCCGAGTGCTGGGATTAAAGGCATGTGCCACCACGCCCGGCTTATCTTGTGTATTTTTTTTTAAGATCTATTTTATGTGTGTATGTGTGTGCCTGAGTGTATGTACATCACGTGTGTGCACTGTCTCTGGAAGCCAGAAAAGGGCATCAGATCCCCCTGGAATTGGAGTTACGGACTATAACACTATGTGGGTGCTGGGAACCGAGTCCAGGTCCTCTGAAAGAGCAGCCAGTGTTAACTGCTGAGCCATCTCTCCGGCCCCTGATTTATATTTACAAATGTTCCTTCTAGCCTAATGTCACACCAGTGGCTAGAAATCAGGGACTCAGGCAGCAGAAAGTGGATGGAGGCTGGGTTGGGCAGCAAGAAATGGATAACGAAGGTGGCAGATAAGACCTGTGAGAGGAAATAGGAAGAGCTCACGGCAGGGAAGAGGTGGTGCGTTCAAATAGAGGGTCAGGGAATTTAGGGAAGGGCCTTGAAGGAGCGTTAGGGATTACGCACCAGGGAAAGTGCAGTACCTGGTCACGGCAGGGAAGAGGTGGTGCGTTCAAATAGAGGGTCAGGGAATTTAGGGAAAGGGCCTTGAAGGAGCGTTAGGGATTATGCACCAGGGAAAGTGCAGTACCTGGGGCTACCAGCAGAAGGCACACTTACCAACCTGGGTCTGGGGTGAACCAGAGGCTGCAATGACTTGCAGTGTTCACAGCAGTGTAGGGCATGCCCAATAGTGACTCCAAGTCACACCCCAAAGTAGAGACATAGAATGTGGGCACCCTGACGTTACTCTCTTGGCACCTATTTGTGTCCTGCTGCCCCTGCCCACCAGCTGAGCCCAACAGGAAGCCAAAGGTCAAAATGGGTTAGGTACAGCAGGTGCAGGTCAGTCTGGGGCTCAGAGCAGGAGCTCAAAGTGTGGAGGGAGGGTCTGTGGGCAGGGCCTGTCATACAGAAGAGACAGGGCTCCCTGACCCTGTAGCTCTCAAGAAGGACAGGGGACTTAATGGCATGTGAGGGACACTTGGGATTTGCCAGCCAGTCCTGGCAGACATGGGCTACTGAAGGAATAAAAAGCAGTGCTTCTAGGTACCCCAGCATGTAAGGAGTGCATGAACTAGACCTGTGTACAGGGGAGAAACTGGCAAGTAGGAGGAGACCCAGGTGACAGGGACCCCTGAAGAGAAGGGGAGAGTTCCCGAGATGAGGATGTAGTCTTTAGGTTGGGGTATGAGGGGGTTGGAGAAGGACCCAGGGGCACAAAACCTCTACATTAAGATGAGACCCTCACTGAGTTTGGAGGCACATGCTTTTAATCCTAGCGCTCAGGAGGCAGAGTCTGGTGGATCTCTGTGAGATCAAGTCCAGTCTGCTCCACAGAGTGACTTTCAGGTGGGCTGGAACTAGGGAGACTGTGTAAAAAAATGTGACCTTCAGCTCACACCTCCCATCACACTGGAGGCAGAGCCAGGTGGATCTCTTGAGTTCGAGGCCAGCCATGGCTACACAGTGAGACCTTTTGTCTCAAAAAGACCAAAAAAAAAAAAAACAAAAAAAAAAAAAAAAAAAAAAAAAAAAAAAAAAGCTTAGGGCTGGAGAGATGGCTCAGTGGTTAAGAGCCCTGGCTGCTTTTGCAGAAGACCCAGGTTTGAATCCCAGCACCCACATGGTGGCTAACAACAATGGTAACTCTAGTTCCAGGGGATCTGACACCGTCTCCTGTCATCTGGGGGCACTGCATGACACGAGCACAGTTACACACATGCAGGCATAACACTCATACACATAAAATACATAAATCAAAAATAAATTTTTAAAAACCTAGACCCAAGACAATTGTCTATGACCTAAGCCTTGTGTTTCCTGCAACCACAGTAACACCATTTCCCCACAAACTTACTGGTTTAAAGACATACTTAATCTCTTTTTAAAAATTTATTTTTAATTTATGTGTATACGTTTTTCCTGCATGTATGTAAGTGTATTACCTTCTTCATGCAGTGCACATGGAGACCAGAAGAGGACACCAGATCTTCTGCAACTGGAGTCACCAATGGTTGTTAGCCACCATGTGGGTGCTGGGAACTAAACCCAGATCTTCTGCAAGAGCAGCCAGTGCTCTTAACCACTGAAATATCTCTCCAGTCCCTCCCTTTCTCTTGTAAGAACCATGGTAAGGACAAGTACTGTCCACCTGGGTTGTCAGGAGTTTTTTCCCTGTCCCCAAATCCTTAGATTTCTTTTGGGGTCACATGTGGTATCATTCACAGGTTCTGAGGGCTGAAAAGGGGACATCTGGGGACCATTACTCAGCTTGCTGTCGTGTCCTCTGTGGTTTAATGAGATGCATCTAAGGGCTCACTCTCTCTCTCTTGCCACACTCCTACAGAGCTCAGCCAAGCAGGCCACTAACCAAGTAACTGTTTCTTTCCATTGAAACATAGACATGGAGTGAATCCAGAGGTTCAGGAAACTTAGAAGCTTACTAGAGTCAGGAGACTCCTGGAACAGAGTGGTGAACACCTGTAATCGCAAAGTAAGTTGAGGCCAGCCTGATCTACATAGAGATTTCCAGGCCAGCTGGGCTACAGGGAGACCCTGTCTGAAAACAAGAATCAGGATATTCACAAGGCAGGTTCCTCCCTTGGGTCATAGAAGCAGTGCACAGTTGCTGGGGGAGGTCAGTGGAGTTGCCTGCACGTTGCACAGGGGACTCAAGCATTGTAGCTTTTGTGAGTTATCACTCAGGCTTCCTGGGCTGTTTAGTGAGGAGTTTCCCAAATCACCTACGCACCTGGGAGCTATCTCCATACACTTGTAGGTTTCCAAAGCCGGACTTAAGTGGATTCCTTCCTTCAGCACCCTTTCTATCTGGGATGAATAGAGTCTCCCCAGGAAAGGTTCTGCAACATCAGGGCTGGAAGTGAGTTGGGGTGTCTGTATCCTCAGCTCCCATCATATCTGGCTGAGTTGCATCCAGGTACCAAAGCCACAGATCTTGGAACACCATTTCCTACACTGTCCTACACTCCAGGCACACTTGGTTAACATCCTGTTTACACCATCTTCAGTCACCATCTGTGTCTGGCTCTGTCTGCTATAGAACCCTTCCTCCTCATGGCTGCCACCCCTGTCCTCTGTGGCCCCCGCTGCACTGACAGTCCATTGTCAGACCTGGAGCAGCATGCAGACAAAATGAATAAAGGTGCGGGTCTGTTATCCCAGCACTCTGGAGGTGGAGGCAGGAGGACCAGGAGTTTGGGAGCCAGCCTGGGCTACATAAGACACTAAAAAAACCAGGGAAGGACCGGGCGTGGTGGCACACACCTTTAATCCCAGCACTTGGGAGGCAGAGGCAGGCAGATCTCTGTGAGTTCAAGGCCAGCCTGGTCTACATAGTTTCAGGACAGCTTGGGCTACAGGGAGACCCTGTCTCAAAAACTGAAAAAAAAAAAAAGAGAGTGGAAGAACTCCTGTAACCAGAGTGACAGAAAGGGAGAGTCCCCTCCTCTGATTCTCCTTTGGGTTTGGTAGTTTAGCAAATGGAACTAAGGTGGCTGTCCTGGTTAGATTTTATTGTCAGTTTGACACAACCTAGTGTCACCTGGGACTAGGAAACTTCCACTGAGGAATTTCCTAGGACCATGTCTGTGAGAGAGTTCTTTTTAAAAAAGATTTATATTTATTTATTTTTGAATTTTTTCATAATTATTTCTGTCTTATATTTATTTTTACTTCATGTGTATGAATGTTTTGCCAGCATGTATGTAAGAGGCCAGAAGAGGGGATCAGATCCCTTGGAACTGGAGTTACAGACAGTTAACTGCCTTGTGGGTACTGGGAACCTAACCTGGGTCCTTTGCAAGAGCAACCAGTGCTCTTAACAACTGAGCCATCTTTCCAGCCCTCAAAAAGCTTTTAAGAACTCATCAGAACTCAGTTGAGAGCATTGACCGCTCTTCCAAAAGACCTAAGCTTGGTTCCCAGCACCATGTCAGGCAGCTCACAACCCCCTGGGGAGTCAGTGATCTCTTCTGACCTCTCACATATGTGCATATACAGATGCACAACTAAAATTAATAAAAATTGGGGCTAGAGAGATGGCTCAGTGGTTAAGAGCACTGACTACTCTTGCAGAGGACCCGGGTTCAATTCCCAGCACCCACATGTCAGCTACG